GACCAGACTGACTGGATTAAACTGGATTATATCCAGGAAGGACCAGACTGACTGGATTAGACTGGATTATATCCAGGAAGGACCAGACTGACTGGATTAAACTGGATTATATCCACTGAGGACCAGACTGACTGGATTAAACTGGATTATATCCACTGAGGACCAGACTGACTGGATTAAACTGGATTATATCCACTGAGGACCAGACTGACTGGATTAGACTGGATTATAACCACTGAGGACCAGACTGACCGGATTAGACTGGATTATAACCACTGAGGATCAGACTGACTGGATTAAATTGGATTATATCCAGGAAGGACCAGACTGACTGGATTAGACTGGATTATAACCACTGAGGACCAGACTGACCGGATTAAACTGGATTATATCCAGGAAGGACCAGACTGACTGGATTAGACTGGATTATATCCAGGAAGGACCAGACTGACTGGATTAGACTGGATTATATCCACTGAGGACCAGACTGACTGGATTAAACTGGATTATATCCACTGAGGACCAGACTGACTGGATTAAACTGGATTATATCCACTGAGGACCAGACTGACTGGATTAGACTGGATTATAACCACTGAGGACCAGACTGACTGGATTAGACTGGATTATAACCACTGAGGACCAGACTGACCGGATTAGACTGGATTATAACCACTGAGGATCAGACTGACTGGATTAAATTGGATTATATCCAGGAAGGACCAGACTGACTGGATTAGACTGGATTATAACCACTGAGGACCAGACTGACCGGATTAAACTGGATTATATCCAGGAAGGACCAGATTCACTGGATTAGACTGGATTATATCGAGTGAGGATTGTGGTTTTTCTGCATGGGTCCCTGCTGTTTGTTGTTGATTTTAATCCAGGATTATATTTCCAGATTATAATCCAGCATATCACAGCTGCTCTTCTTCAGTTTGAAGTTTATATGAAAGATTTAATCTGCAGGTCTAGTCCATGCTAATCTAGCAGCTACCAGACTTTATCAGCTCCTTGGATGACCTTTGACCCTTTAGTTCAGTCAGTCACCTTTTGACCCACAGCAGAAATGTGCTGGATGTGTTTTTACCAATGAAATAGTTATTATTATTGTCACTGAACCGTTCTTGGTCATCATCCTCATCATCATACTATGAGCTTCATCAGGAAACCAACAACCTGCTGTTGTTGGGAACGGTCTACTTCCTGGACCAGTCACAGACTACTTCCTGGACCAGTCACAGTCTACTTCCTGGACCAGTCACAGACTACTTCCTGGACCAGTCACAGTCTACTTCCTGGACCAGTCACAGACTACTTCCTGGACCAGTCACAGTCTACTTCCTGGACCAGTCACAGACTACTTCCTGGACCAGTCACAGACTACTTCCTGGACCAGTCACAGTCTACTTCCTGGACCAGTCACAGACTACTTCCTGGACCAGTCACAGACTACTTCCTGGACCAGTCACAGACTACTTCCTGGACCAGTCACAGTCTACTTCTGGACCAGTCACAGTCTACTTCCTGGACCAGTCACAGACTACTTCCTGGACCAGTCACAGTTCTACTTCCTGGACCAGTCACAGACTACTTCTGGACCAGTCACAGTCTACTTCCTGGACCAGTCACAGACTACTTCCTGGACCAGTCACAGTCTACTTCCTGGACCAGTCACAGGACTACTTCCTGGACCAGTCACAGACTACTTCCTGGACCAGTCACAGTCTACTCCTGGACCAGTCACAGACTACTTCCTGTGAGCTTTATTGGCGCTGCATACGGTTGCCATGGTGAACACTGAGCTTGTCTCAGATGTTTCTTATCAGGCGACCCCACAAAGGTCACGTCTCCTCATGTTGGAGCTCGTCCAATAAAGTGGCTCCTCCACCTTCAGCCCGACCTCTGAGTTTACGTCTCGACTCAGATGGAGCATAAAATCAGATCATCACAGAATAATTCAGGATTTAATAACCAGAACAGGAAACAACGGTTTAGTCGCTGGTTAGACGGAGGCAGATGAAGAGTCAGTATGTGATGTCAGGATAAACCCGCAACTTCAGTGCTACTGGAGATCAATGGCAATTTCACAAACTATGGACCAAGTTAAGAATAAAATCAACCCAAATCTTGTTGTTTATCCAGGCAATAGATGGGAGGAAAACCAGGAGAACCCAGTAAACCTGGTCTGAGGAGAATCGGGCGTTCCTGAGTCTGAGACCAATTACTGACTAACGTTGTCTGACGTCAGGCTGCTGACGGAGGCAGAGCCATGTACCTCTGCAGGTGGAAAACAATGCTGTCTTGGAACCAATGTGGCGACGAGGTCGGCCACATTGGTTCCATCCGGTTCCATTGGTTCCATGGTTCCCTGGGTTCCATTGGTTCCCCGGGTTCCATTGGTTCCCTGGGTTCCTCAGCTCATGGCCAACCTGACAGCAGGCGTTCTGGTCTTCCAGGCCTCTCCTCATGCAGTTTCTCTGTCCTCCAGTGGAGATGGAGGCTCCCCGGTCAACCTGAGCTTCAACCTGAGCGACGCCGGCGGCGACGAGGTCGGCCACAGCGCGCTGCTGTCCTGGACGTACCCGGCTCCTGAGCACGTACGCTCGGCTGGATCACTCTGGTGTACGAGCTGCAGTACCGACGCGTCGGCGAGACCACAAACTGGAAGGTACGCGGCCGATCCGCAGGTTCCTCTTTAAAACCGACAGTAGAGAGGAACTCTGGATGGTTGGGTCCGCTTCATGGTGCTTCTGAACAGGACCAGTTTGAGTTCCTCTGGGTTCACTGAGCTGAATGGTGCGATGGAGTGACTGGCTGCTAACTTGGGTTTGAGGAGCCACGCTGACGGTGAAAGTCCTGATGGCTGCTGGTCCCGGTGAACCGGCTGAACGCCGCCGTTTCTGTCCGCAGGTGAAGCATCCTCTGCAGGAGCCGCATGTGGAGTTTGCTCGGCCTGCGACCCGGCGACTACGTGATTCGGGTCCGCTGCCGCTCACCGCAACTCACGGCTGTGGAGCAAATGGAGTGCCGCGCTGCTCATGAGCGTCCCAACAGGCCGCTGCAGGTATGACTCGGGGTTTCTGTGGCGGCAACCTGAGTGTGAGGAAATGGTTTCTAAAGTGAAGAGAGGTCATGTTCTCCTGTGCAGGTAAAGTCCTGGTTCTGGTTCTGGTTCTGGTGGTGGAGCCGTTGGCTCTGCTGGTCGTGGCCTTCGGGGTGATTCCTCAGAGCAGGAGGTGAGGGAGCTGTAATGTCAAGGTGCGTCCAGAGAGGGCGCCACCTTCCCGCTCTGGAGAGAAGACGACTCAGATTCTGCTTTGTCCCTCCAGAATAAAAGACTACTTCCTGCCGCCTGTTCCCAAGCCACGGATCATGGGCATTGACCCTCTGCTTCTGAAGGTGATGCATCCTGGGAAACGTAGTCGCGTCATTGTGCCCTGTCTGCTAGTTGTGACCCCGGCCCTTCCTTGTCTTGTCTTTGTGTGTCTAGAAGGGGAACTTTGATGAAATCAACCGTCACTTCAGTAACTTCCACGGATACCGGCATCCAGTTACCTCGCTGGAGATGTGGGACCAGGTGAGCGCTGACGGGATCTACCTGAGCGCGCCGCAGGACGGCGGCGTCCAGAGCCCGCCGCCGTACCGCGCCGTGGCGCCGTACCGCGCCGTGGCGCCGTACCGCGCCGTGGTGCCCGAGCCCTACACTGTGCTGCAGGACGCGCCGTCTCTGTGGCAACAGCCCGAGACGGCGTTCGTTCCCGGATCAGACTACAACACGATGGAGCGCCTCGGCGTTCCCCGACGCCTCCGTTTCCGCTCCAGATCCGGTCCGCGCTCCGGTCCAGGACTTCTACACCTGCGTCCAGCTGATGAGGGACAGCGGCGAGGTCCACTTGCCGTCTGCCGGCGCCATACTGCCAGGACTTCCTGCTGCGCTCGGTCCGGATGCCGCCAAGCGAGAGAAGGAGAAGAAGGCTGGCGGAGAACCAGAACCAGAGCGACGACAAGAGCGACGACAAGAGCGACGACGCCGACCCGCTGCTGCCCGTCAGCCCGGACAACACCAAATAGGTCCAAGGTTCTGGACCGAGGTTCTGGACCGAGGTTTGGACCGCTCTGTTTTTGCTCAGCCTGTGTTGGCAGCCATCTTTACTGTGGGCGTGAAAAACACAATTTGATGCATTCACATGAAATCTAACTAGAAGTTTCTAACAAGACATTGAACTGGTTCTGGTTCTGGTTCTGGTCACTCCACCAGGAGGAGCTGGGCATCCTGAACTCTTCTTCTTCTTCTTCTTTGTTTTAATGGCTGTTGGCTTTAAGATATGAAGAATTAGCGCCACCTACTGGTCAGGAGTGTGGACTGCTTTGCTGTGAACTCTGGGTTCTGCAGTCCATTTGAAATGGACCCGGATACTTCAGAGTTTCAAGCTTGGTCTTTCTCAGGAAACAGGAAGTGGTGGCGCTGGTCGGAGAGGATTCTGGTTCTCTACATCCAGAACTTCCTGGGTTTATTTCCCGTTGTTTCCCGTCGCTCGGATAAAACCTCATTTTATTCCCACTTCGCTCTGCAGAAGCAGCCGCTCCTTGATTATCCATGTGCAGGGATGAGAATCGCTGATGACCCAGAACATGAGAGGAATCGAATCGGGCCCATAAGGTCCATTATCATTTTTATGCCAGCAGATTCCCATAAAACCACTGAGAATCAGCACATGATGCCCAGTTTTCTCAGAATGAGGACTGGTTAGGGTTATTATTAGTTAATTGGCTTTAAACGATTCTACTGAGAAAACTCTGCAGCTCCGTGTGACTCTGTTAGCGTAGCATGTTAGCGCTCCATGACCGATCTCAGCTGGACTGAGATTAAACAGATACAAGCAAAGATTCACATTTTAGTTTTTACGCTGCCATCTATATTATTCTGAGACTTTATGTTGGTCGACTCATATTTAGGAAAAATTATTTAGTTTATCAACATGGAATTTTCCTTCAACTCTAAAACAATAAATCCTATTCATAGAATCACATCATCAATAATTTATGAATAGAGTAAAACACTCAGCAAGCTGCAGGTAAATGTTATCATTTAGCTGGTAAAGAATAATTATTGCCCTGTCAATAAATGATTTCTAATAGATTGTTATTACCAGAGGAAACAGAAACGGCTTCATGAGGTCAGAGGTCAAACTGATGAAGAAAGAGGATGGATGCTCTCTGCTAAAATATTCCTGCATCTTCCATCATCTTTCAGCAAACAGTTGAGATAAAGTTGGTTCTGGTTTCACCACCATTTACCTGCTGTTTTACCTGCCAGTGAAAGTTTCATTAAAAGTTTGTTAATCTGCAGCTCATGAGACGGAACCAGCCGAGGAGATGAAAAGTTCAAACTGGAGTTAAACTCAAGTTAAATGTTAAGTTTGAACATTTTAGCTCACAAGCTCTAGTTGGGTAACCCTGAGATCACCAGATCCTCTTAAAGATGGCATCTCTGAGAAAGTCCTTAAAGATACAGGAAGTGTTTTCTGCAAAGTGGAGCTGAATGTCCAGGAACGACACCAGGAATTTAAAATGTTCCAGTTTCAACAGGTTGGCCATCGAGAGAAACTGGAATCACTTTCAGGTTTTGTTTATCTCATTTAATTATCTCTACTTCCTTAAGAAAATGAAAAGATATGTTGTTCTGAGAGGGAATTTATATTTTACCGTTCCAGTATTACCAGAATTAATATTGAACAATAAGAACTTTGTGCTATTTAGTAATGTAATTACATTAGTTGTATTACCTCCCCTCGCCACTAGAGGCAGCATCAGGCCAAAAAGATGCGACTAAATAGCAGATTTAGAAGAATGCCGAAAGCTACAGAATTAGTTACAAACTGTGAGCTGAAGTAAATAAGAGAGAGAGTTAAATACCTGCTGAGAGTGAAAATCCTTCCTAAAGATAAAAATATAAAAAAATATATCACAGATTTCTAAGAAAATAAAAACGAAAGCTCATGTATATAGGAAATAGCGCCCCCTTCACTTCCGGAGTGCAACGGTCCATTTCCAAATAAGGTCTGAGGCTAACAGCGGTCCGTCGCCCTTCCTGTTAGCTGCAGCAGGTTCTTCTCGACCTGCAGGTCCGGTGGATGTGCTGAAGTCTGGACCGTTTCAACCAGAACCGCTGAACCGCAGCTGGTTGACGTCTTTTCTGTTTCTCAGGTCAGAGCTGCAGTATTTTTAGAAAATTGAGCCAAATGTTCCTTCATGCACAAAAGCAGAGCCACTGACACTCCTCCAGTTGGATAAAAACTCTAAACACAATCTTGTAGATGACCCTGTGACCTTTTGGTGTTTGATGTGAGCCCAGTGAATAACCAGAAACTTTGGGACTCTGCCGTCTCCCTGTGGTCGTCCTCGTCTCTCGTTGTGCCTTTTGTCTCTGGTGTTTCATACCACTTTGTCCCCTCTGATCGCTTCTGATGTTAGAATGCCTGCAGGTTGTAACAGGAAGCCGGTTGTAACAGGAAGCTGGTCGTAACAGGAAGCAGGTCGTAACAGGAAGCCGGTCGTAACAGGAAGCAGGTCGTAACAGGAAGCCGGTCGTAACAGGAAGCAGGTCGTAACAGGAAGCCGGTCATAACAGGAAGCAGGTCGTAACAGGAAGCCGGTCGTAACAGGAAGTGTGTTGCTTTGTGGCGGGGAAATATCTTATATAAACATCTTTGGGTTTGAGGCAATAAAAATTCTTGAATTTGTTTTGGATTGTATTGAATTATTGAAATGTATTGATTGTAAGTTGAATGGTGACTTGGTGCCAATGCAATAGTAGTGATCAATAAGTAAAAATGTTCAATTGTCTTGACTTGGATCACATGAACTGAAAGTATCCTGAAGCCTAAACGAGCTGTACCTGAGAAAAGGCTTATTTCTTGTGATAATGATGTAACGTTGCTTTGTGGACCTGGAAGCGTTTTTCTGTCTCTTATCAGGGTCTCTGTTGACCTTTCACCTCCTCTGTAGAGCCGTGTTGTTACTGATTTGTGGTCGGCTCAAAGTGCTTTTCCATCACAGTAAATAAAGAACTCATTCTCACCTTCATGCCTCTGTTTGCCTCCTTCTCTCAAGAGACGTAGTTGAATATAATCCTTAAACAATCAGTCACTGCATGAGAACGATGCTGATCGACTGCTGGTGAGCCCAATGCATCCTTCTAATGCGGCTAACCCGTCTTTAGCTGAGGCTAACCCGTCTTTAGCTGAGGCTAACCCGTCTTTAGCTGAGGCTAACCCGTCTTTAGCTGCGGCTAACCCGTCTTTAGCTGCGGCTAACCCGTCTTTAGCTGCGGCTAACCCGTCTTTTGAGGCTAACCGTCTTTAGCTGAGGCTAACCCGTCTTCAGCTGAGGCTAACCCGTCTTTAGCTGAGGCTAACCCGTCTTTAGCTGAGGCTAACCCGTCTTTAGCTGCGGCTAACCCGTCTTTAGCTGCGGCTAACCCGTCTTTAGCTGAGGCTAACCCGTCTTTAGCTGAGGCTAACCCGTCTTTAGCTGCGGCTAACCCGTCTTTAGCTGCGGCTAACCGTCTTTAGCTGCGGCTAACCCGTCTTTAGCTGAGGCTAACCCGTCTTTAGCTGAGGCTAACCCGTCTTTAGCTTAGGCTAACCCGTCTTCAGCTGAGGCTAACCGTCTTTAGCTGAGGCTAACCCGTCTTTAGCTGCGGCTAACCCGTCTTTAGCTGCGGCTAACCCGTCTGTAGCTGAGGCTAACCCGTCTTAAGCTGCGGCTAGCCCGTCTTTAGCTGAGGCTAACCCGTCTTTAGCTGCGGCTAACCCGTCTTTAGCTGAGGCTAACCCGTCTTTAGCTGAGGCTAACCCGTCTTTAGCTGCGGCTAACCCGTCTTTAGCTGAAGCTAGCCCATCTTTAGCTGCGGCTAGCCAGTCTTTAGCTATGATTAACGTTTAATCTGTTCTTAATAAGGACAGAAAGATAATCTGACCTCTTAAGGGAAATTAAAACATGAATAATCTGGTCAGTTTGGAAACTGAGACGCCAACAATTCTGAAAATTAGAATTTATAAAACTAACTTATTATGATCATTATTATGAGGCTCACATGTTCTTCCTTCTGCTCCATGAACAGAACTAAGCAGAAACATCCTGTTTCTGCTTTTAATCTGAACTCTAATCTGGATTAGGACTTCCGGTCTCAGGAAGAAACGATCCAGGAGGGAAGGAACCCGGAAATGACGACACACAGCTGCTGGTGTCGGGTTTCTGAGGAAGAGGAGGAGGAGGAAGAGCAGCGCGGCTAATTTGGGCCGCAGAGTCAGAGGGGGTTCGGTTCGGTTCGGCCTGAGGAACAGCTCCAGTCCGCCGCAGGTGAGAAACACACACACACACACACACACACACACACACACACACACACACACACACACACTGTTGTCCTCTGGTTCTGGTTCTGGTTCTGCTGTCGGTTCTGCAGCTGTCAGCAGCTTAAAATAACTCTGGAAGGACAAACAGCGGACCCGCGCGACCTGGACCGAACCGAACCGAACCGGACACAACCGGACAGGGTCAGAACTCAGGCCGGTCCAAAACGCACTTCATTAAACTCTCGGACCGGTTCTGGTTCTTGTGGGTCTGAGTTGGGACAGAACCGTCAGCGGTCCAATCGGAACCTGATTTGTTTTTGTAATAAATTCTTCAGTTCTAGTTTCCAAATGAAATCAAAGTTTTTTTTCTCTTGTTTGTTTAAAAACAATAATAATAACATTAATGATCCTCATTTTAATGTTGCTGCTTATTTATTATCTTCTGTTCATAATCAATAAATAATAATTGAAGGAATTTAAGAAATGAAATTGGAGCTCAGCTGACGTCATCAACACCTGTCATCAGTTCTGATAGGGTCCTGGTTGCCATGGAGACAGCCAATGAAAGCGAGGACCAGGCGGTCCCTGATGAAGAGGAGGAGGAGGAGGAAGAGGAGGTTCGAGGAGTCCAGGCTCGGTACCTGCGCTGCCCGTCTCCTAGGTAACGGCAGGATATTGATCAATATTGATAATAATAATAATAATAATCAGTTTCTCATATTTTTCATGTTTTCCTGGACAAATTGAAACTTTTCTGCCTGATCACCTCAGACTTGGTTTCCCCAGACTGACTTCCTCCTCCTCTTCCTCCTCCTCCTCTCGCAGCTTCTCCATGACCTCCTTGACCTCCAGGTTCTCTGATGCCTCGTCCATCGTCATGGAGCCCATCCATCTGTCGTCGGCCGTCGCTGCCAAGAAGATCATCAGCGAAGGTAAGAGGGGGCCTAGTCAAAGTCCACATGTGGCTCTGGATTTGACTAGGCCTTAGCGTAGGCTGGATGTTTTGCTCCGCAGCTCCTCCGCAGCATGATGCTGCCACCACCATGCTCCCTTTCTGTCTCCAAGTCCTGAGCTGCTCGTCCAGCAGAGGCCATGTTGAAGACCTGGATCCGGGCCTGGATCCGGGCCTGGAGCCGGTCCAACTCCAGGTCCAGCTGCTGGTCCGGCTCCTTTGCTTTGTGCTGCTTCTGTCGTGTCTCCTGCAGGATTTTAAACAACTTAAAACATTTCTGAAGCGTTTCCGTGGCGATTCTGAAGCCTTATGAAGCTGCAGGTCAGGCGAGGTCAGGTGAGGTCAGGCGAGGTCAGGCGAGGTCAGGCGAGGGTCAGGTGAGGTCAAACGGTTCTGCTCATTGTCGTGCAGACGGCGCCGGCGGCCCAGTGGCAGCTTAATGGAGGATTCTTGTTCCATCTGCGGAAACAGGATGACAGCCAAAGAGCTTTCCCTCCCTCTGTGCTCCATGGCTAATGCTAACACATGGCTAATGCTAACACATGGCTAACGCTAACACATGGCTAATGCTAACACATGGCTAACCTAACACATGGCTAATGCTAACACATGGCTAATGCTAACACATGGCTAACGCTAAACACATGGCTAATGCTAACACATGGCTAACCCTAACACATGGCTAATGCTAAACACATGGCTAACCCTAACACATGGCTAACCCTAACACATGCCTAATGCTAACACATGGCTAACGCCAACACATGGCTAATCCTAACACATGGCTAACGCCAACACATGGCTAACGCCAACACATGGCTAACGCTAACACATGGCTAACGCCAACACATGGCTAACACTAACACATGGCTAACACTAACACATGGCTAACGCTAACACATGGCTAAAGCCAACACATGGCTAACGCTAACACATGGCTAACACTAACACATGGCTAACGCTAACACATGGCTAACGCTAACACATGGCTAACACTAACACATGGCTAATGCCAACACATGGCTAACGCTAACACATGGCTAACACTAACACATGGCTAACGCTAACACATGGCTAACGCTAACACATGGCTAATGCCAACACATGGCTAACGCTAACACATGGCTAACGCCAACACATGGCTAACCCTAACACATGGCTAACGCTAACACATGGCTAACGCTAACACATGGCTAACGCTAACACATGGCTAACGCTAACACATGGCTAACGCTAACACATGGCTAACACTAAACATGGCTAACGCTAACACATGGCTAACGCTAACACATGGCTAACGCTAACACATGGCTAACGCTAACACATGGCTAACGCTAACACATGGCTAACACTAACACATGGCTAATGCCAACACATGGCTAACGCTAACACATGGCTAACGCTAACACATGGCTAACGCTAACACATGGCTAACACTAACCACGCAGCCCAGCAGACGAACATCCAGAGTTCAGATTTATTTACGACGAAACCAAGCAACAAATGCACCTCTTTTATCATCGCTTCTGAACTCGAATTAATGTGAATATGTTTATTTACATGGTCAATCAGTAACAAACATGGCGGCACTTCCTGTCTTTGTCTTCTCTGCCAGCAGCAAACATCCTGTTGGTCATGTGATCAGAGAGCAAAATACATAAAAAAATTGACCTCATCCCAGAGCAAAAACGTTTGATCAGAAACATAAAAAGTCAGAACCCGGATCAGAACCAGAACCTGATTCTGAGCCTGCGGCTCCATGTTGGTGGTGGCAGTGGGGAAGATGGCGAACTCACTCCTCCTTCCTCTCCTCTGACGGACGAGATTTGGTCCAAACTGGGTCATCAGCAGAAGAAAGCAACTATGTCCTAGTCAAAGTACAGACCTATTGACATGGACAAGAATTAATTCATGAATCATGAATTTGTTCTGGGGTTTCTGTTCTCCCTCTTGGTTACCAGTCTCTAAGCATTGATGATGTCACCATGAACTGATTGCAGAAGAAAAGCCTAAACTGAATTCAGTAATTTATTCAAATGTTGGGAAAATTTTAACCACGGGCCCATCAGTCACAGCGCCACCGACTGGCCCGGCTGACCTACCTCATCATTTTCTTCTTGCTGTGATCGGAGCCTGAGTGACTGACTCCTTGGTTTCCACAAAAGACCTGAATGTTTTGAGTTTCTTCGATGTAAAGTAAAAGCCGAAGGTCGTGTTTCCTCGCTTGTGGTAACCGGCCGTTCCTCCCCAGAGCTGCCGCCCCCCGCTCCCGCCCCGAGTCCGTCCCGGAGTCCATGCTGGAGTCTGCGGAGAGCTGATGGTGGAGGACCTGTACAACCGGGTCCGGGACATGCTGGACGACCGCAGCCCCTACAACACGCCCTGCGTGCTGGACATCCAGAGGGCCGTGGTCCAGGACCGCTTGGAGGCGCCCGCCAACCCGTGGACGAGGTCTGGCCCAACATCCACATCGCCGAGAAGTGAGTACAGTGTCGTCATTTCATCGGCTTCAACTTCGACATCCAAGAGCTGTGCTTCCGTTTCAGATCCGTTGCGGTGAACAAGGCCCGTCTGAAGAGAATGGGCATCACGCACATCCTGAACACGGCCCACCCACCGGCGTCTACACCAGCCAGGCCTTCTACGCCAACATGAACATCCAGTACCGAGGAATCGAACTGGACGACTTCCCCGACGCCGACATCTCCGCGCATTTCAGACCCACCGCAGAGTTCCTGGACGAGGCTCTGCTCACACACAGAGGTCAGTCTGGA